TGAAATGTTTTGGAACCTCTGAGCTACACAGCTGCTCACAGCAGTTTCAATGCAGCAGTCTGAGAGTAAAGGACACAATTTGGAGGTGTGCGCTCTCCTCTTCAGCTGCTAGCCTCAGATATAGATTCCTGTGTTCCAGAGTATCTGGACTCATTGATGTGTTGACAGTGTGGATGAGCCATTGCAGCTACTTATAAGAGCATTGTGTGATTAGTTTTGTTTGAAGGCGGACCATTGGAAGGAGGCTGCTGTGGCAAAAGCAGTGCATTAACGTACCTGGAGCGCTGCCAGAGTGTGATGAGCTATTCGCCTTGGCATGAGCCCAGCGCTGCTCTTTTGTTGGTCCCTGACTTCATGGATAAAATGCCACTGCTACCACCGTTCTCACCCAGGAGCCTGACATTCTGCCACGACAATAGCAAAGCAGTAGAACTTTTATGGATGCTCAAAACCATTAGGGAACTCTAGGCTCTATCTCAGACTAAGGGAAGAGAGCAGAGTTGTGCTGAGCGATTGTTTTTAAGGATGCTTTTCTTGGTCTTTATAGAGTGTTTTTTTTTGGAAAGCAACATATCTAGAATTTGTAAATGAAGGCCTTCTTCAGGATCAGACTCCAGGTGTCAGTCAGGATGGAGGTAACGATGACGCTGTCCTCCATCCACACTAGCTTGGGGTTGTTCTTGGGGTTGGTTTTTTATCCCCAGCAGTATGCCCATAATCCTAGAAATGAAGCCATTACATAATGTTAGAGAGATCAAATAAAGTATTTATGATTTTCTCTTGTATTATATATATATATATAATGGGTCCGGTACGTGGGAATGCATATGATATAAAATGCAGTTTCCAAGTTTTTTCTTCATTTTTATTAATAATAAAAAACAAAATAAAGAACTGGATGATTTAAGAATCATTAATGCTGTCAGCAGACTGTTTGGGATCTTCTTTCCATCACTTCTCCTGTGTTTTTTATGCAGTGAATGGATTCATGGGGTCCAGTGATGGAAGCAGCATTTTGGGGAAGATCGGTCCAACAAAGTCTCCTCCTTCTCTTCCACATCAAGGGAGCAGCCTGATCCCCAGCAGCCGCAAAACCGACCTCCGAGTGGTCATCCCTCATTGCAAAGGAATGATGCTGGTACAGATCACCTGACTTCTTAACCTCCAGAATAAATGTGAAGTTAGGCCAGGTTACCTTAAGTGTATTTTGAATGCTTTGATCATTCTTTGATAATCTAGAGAGGAGGTCTTCAAATTCTGCAATTTTTCCCACTAATTGAAATGTCTTTAAATCCACATTAACATGAATTCAACACACTGTAGTAAACAATTAATTTAATGTGTAATTCATTAAATAAATAATGAATTAAATATATAAATGTGTCATTAATTTAATAAAATACGTCTTCATTTTATTAAAAAAAAAAATATATAATTATTTTAGTGTGCATTTAATTATTTCATGGTCCTGTGTCGCAGTGCATCGAAACCATCATAGTTAGGGGGCGGGGTTAGCGCGAATCGAGTCTCTGTAATCGATTTGCTTCGCCTTAATGTGCAGGGTGACCAATCAGGTGTTAGATAACCGCCCCCTAACTTTGATGCACACTGAAATAATTATATATATTTTTAAAATAAAATGAAGACGTATTTTATTAAATTAATGACACATTTATCTATTTATTTCCTTTTTTATTTAATGAATTACACATTTAATTTATTGTTTATCGCTGTATTTATTTATTTAATTGTGGCACTTTATATTAGTGACATGGTTTTAATTAATAAATGACACATTTATTTATTTAATTCCACATTTAATTAATTATTGACTCATTTAATTA